GCTTATTTTAATTTAATCCTGTAAATCCTCAGCGTAAGAACAGTTCTTCCACAAAGGTAAAATTTAGCTCTATAGTTTTAAAATTAAAGTATATACTGTAGCAAAATGACTCAAATTTTAATCTCAATACAGAAGCAGGCTTTGAACTTAATTTCCAGTACCAGTTAATGTTCTTGTTATATCTGTACAGAATAGAAAAATAAAATGTACAGAATTGGAAAATGTAAATTTTTGTTCCATGACTGCAATTGCAAAAATATCTTGCAGCAGCATATAGAAAAGTTATGAAATCGGGTGCTTTGAAGGTGGGGATTTCGGACTACCCACAAGTTATCTGTTCATATTGTTTCCTTCTCCAGCTCCCAAACCATTCCTGCACAGTTCAAGACATTTTTGTCAGAGCAGGCAGAGAAGAATTTGAACAGTTTATCAGAATAAGCTGTCAGGCTTCAATGGTGGGAAACATTCCTGTCTTGCTAGAATTCACTAAACCAAATGCAGTTTTTATATCTGCAAAAGATATAAAATTTGTATCTTCTAAAGAAAAATAATTTATGTCCAGACATCCTAAGATGTGTGAGGTAACCTGTGCTCTGCAAGATACTAAAGGCCTTAACAAAAAGACAGAGATATGGACAGAATGTAAATGCTTTTAACTTAGAATTCTTTCTTTACACCTCTAGCGTACTGTGGTTTGGCTGTTTTAAAGCACATGGCAACTATTTATGTACACAAAAGCCTCTTCATTGTAGCTTTCCCAAACTTACATGGGAACCTAAAACAAACATCCTCTTTTCTCCCCTCCTCTGCAGCAAATTATTTACCAACTTTGAACATGTTACCTCTTCACCAGGTAGGGTGTTTTTTAATTTTATTTGTGTTGCTTTTCAACACAGCTTCTAAGAATAAGGACTGATGAGCAGTAGGGTTATGAAACATTTCATTACTATTACAATCACAATTTAGTGAAAGCTGGCTGAACTAACAGGTGAATAATTGTGCTAATCACTGAGTTCCCCCTTTATTTCTGCTCACTTCCTAGCAGCCAAACTGAAAGGTAAATTGCATTATGACGGTCCATAAACATCTCAGAATATCCAGCAAATCAAAACAGTCTGTTTCATTTTCAGATACTTTCAAAAATGAAAGCAAAATGCAAGATTCACAAAGGGATACTGGCATTATTTACAGAACAAGTGAAAAAGTCAAGGATCCAATCTTCTCTTTACCCTCAGCCCAATGCCTGGGATATTCCCATGGCCAGAGGAAACCTTATTCGTTGCCCTACTTACCACAGAATTCACCCACTTGACACACACACATGCTCTAGCTGGGCTGATCTTTTACATGCTGCCTTGAAGAAGTGTTCTCCATATAAAATGAGTGTAGTAAGCATCAAGTTTCCTCTCCAGTTTTCAAAGGGAACCAGATTCCTTTGAAAACCTAGCTTTGCAAAAACCAAAACTGGCTTTAATATCCTTTTTTTGAAAACAAACCACTCAGCAAATTCAAGAACGCCAATAAATTATTTTAAGTAGCTTTCTTACTGAACAAAATCATTTGTCAAGGATTCAGCATGTTCTTCTGCACACAGCAACTTATTTTATGAAAAATAATATACAATCCAATTTGGTGGTTTGTGGAAGATGACAGCCCAGAACCCATCTGTTACTGAAGCCAACTGCAAGGCTGGCTATGAATCTAAGCTATGAAAGCAGAGTTTTTGGGGGACGGGAAAGAAATGCAAAAGCAGTTTGCAAGAGATACAGGCAAGGAATGGATCATGAACTAGATAGCAAAAAAAAATAAAAAAAGTCTGAGTGAGGCTCTCCTACAGTCCCCAAGGGAAAAAAAAAATTAGGAATCTGTCCTCAAGCAGGTAGACATTTAAGAACAAAATTCCTGAATGAGAGTCCTGTTACAATCAGCTAAGCATTTTAACATGTGCGTTTTATAAATAACAAGGAACATTTAAAATAAAGACATGATCAAACTCTCACCCTAAAGAAACATAACCATTCAGGTTTCAAAATTGAACTGTGATTATGTCAGAAACATATATTTCAGCAAAAAGAGGAGAGGTCACATAATTTCAATCATATTTATTATTAAATACTACCACATGACATATAATGGCAAACTATTAGAACTGATTTGGTGACACAGAATCCTGGGTGGATCGTGGCTGATGAGAGGAATAATTCCATCTCCTCTCCACTCTAAGAAAACCAACAAGCATCTGAAAACCAGGAAATGGGCCCTATCAGCTAAAAAAGCCAGCATTTCTCCAGAAAGGGCATAAAGGAAGGAAGGAGAAAAAGAGATCCCCCAAAGATGAACAGACTGGAAAGACCAAAAAGAGAATGAAACTAAGACAAGATATATAGTTTGGCTGGTAACAGATCTGAAGTTCACAGATCACACAGATGGAAAACCTTAGCGTACATCACACTGTCAGAGTTGAGAGAAAGTGCAATTAAAAAGTTGCAGTGAACTGGAAATAGGCAGAAATACATTTGCAGCATCTCAGCCAAAGTCCAGTAAAATTAACTATCTCGATCATGTGCAGCCATCCTCTAAGGCTACTTCATCTGTCTTTCAATATTCAGATATTCCATTCATAGTTAACATTCATTCAACTGAAGGGGTTACAAACAATACCTCTGGCAATATCTCTACTGCATACTGCTTAGAATAGAAAGGATGTGCTTCACCAAAACCGACCAAGAACCATTTACCTAAGAGTGCAAAGACAAGACAATAAAGCAGAAAAAACTAATATATACTTGTATAATAGCAATCATTGCAAACTAATAAGAAGCTTATCTCAGGGTCCCTATAGGTCTGCAGTCTTTCTCATTCAATGTTTTCTGGAAGTATGTCAAATATTTTAAATATTCCATTTGACACTATTTCTATGCAGAGCATGCATGGTTTTTCTATAATGGATAGCAGCAATATTCCAGCAACACAGGAAGGAATTAATATTTCAGTATTACACATGACAGCCTCCAGTTCAGGAAAGTAAGGATCTGGACAGACAAACAATAGATAATACTCAAGATCTTTGTAAGAATGGCTCTCGTTCAGTTACTGGAAAGCTGGTATCCAAAAATACTGTTATGGTAACTTGCAGAGCAGGAGGAGAGAGTGCTGCTATCACAGCCTTGTCTAAAACACAATTTTGTTTGCATTGTGGGGAATCCCCTGCACACCTCCCTACCACTGTGCAGCTGTATCCAGCCTCAGCACAGGACAGTGCATAAGATCTAGAAAGCCATTTAGAGTTTATATTTCAGATTGTGCCAGTGATCTTTCTTGTAATGCTTGTTGGAATATTAATGCAATATTTAAAATTGACTATTGATTTTTCACAAGTTCTTTGCTGCAGTTTTCAAATGGTAACTATGCTCTGGAAGACTTTTGTGCAATAATTCTGCTATCAAGACTGTTTTAAGGATTATTTACTTTGACTTTGTTGAATGGACATACACCAGAAATAGACAATATCTAAAAGGATGCTCTGTGTTGTGCAGTTGCACTATTTGCTATTTCAGACCAAATCGTGCTTCTTCTGTAGAAGGTAGCTTCATGAAGTGCAAGTCAAACAACTGGCATCAGGGAAGTGCTTGACAGAAGTTTAAACTAGAGGTGAAAAAAGTGTTAAGCCCCAGAGTAATCGAAAAAGGCATATTTTGTGAATTTTAGCCATCAGAACCCAAAACAAAATTGTTAAAATAAGAAAGGTTGTGGAGTTTTTTCCTATTCCAGTAGGAAATAAGATGCAGCTATAAGATGCTAAGATTACATTTTCTAAAATCTCAAACAATCAGAAGTAATGACTGTATTACAATATACTTAAAATTTTTTAAACAGTAAAACCATGCTTTGATAAACATACTATTTAACTCTCTGTTATGTAGTCACAATGCTGTCATTTCCAACCAACAGCATTCATTTTTTGTGACTATATTAAGAAGTCATTAACCATTCCATAACTGTCTGAATAAACCACTTGTTTAACTCCTTCAATGTAGAGCATATTCTCCTAAACAAAGGTATACTTACATATTTGCGTGATCTTGTGATTATCAATCAACAAGAATTCATATTTCCCTAGAAAAGTAGTGAAAATCTGAACAATGTAGAACAGCATTAAAATCAGAGTTTCTGACTGCCAAGTTAAAGACATACTCTGACAATGCAAGCATATTTAACCAAAATCCATCCAATATGTTGTCAATTTTGCTTTTCTGACATTTGACTACAAGACAGTGTTAGTACAAAGTGGATATGACACATAATTTTGCAAGGTGGTATCGGATAATAGTCTATTGAGACACGAGGTTGTATGGTCCAGCAGAGTGGAATGATGCTGGGGTGCTGTTCATTCAACATTTTGAAAATGAACACACATTCCTGGTTTGCTTGTTTCTTTTAACATAAAGGGTTCTTTGTTTATGATTTTTAAGGACAACATCTGACTTGAAACAAACAAATCTTTTTCTATCGGGTGTGATTAAAGATGCTGACAGACTTGAAAGAATGCATAAAGGAATAAAATCATGGTAGGTGCGTCCACGCCTAGGATCCCAGCATGGAAAGAAACTGCACGTGAAGAAGCCTGGGTATAGGACAGCGAAGACATATAGCAATTAGCCTGTGGACAAAAGGGAAATGTTTCGTTTGAGACGGTCCCTTTGTGAACGTTATCACAGAGAGACGATCCTGTCCTGCTCCTGCCGTGCCATGGGGCAGGACAAGGCTCGGCCGCCGGCGGGAGCGCTCCGGAGGCTGCGGGGTGCCCCGCGCTCGCTCAGGGGCGCCGGCCCGGCTCTCTCCGGCTGCGGGCGGGGCGCGGCACCACAGCCCCTCGGCAGCCCTCGCACCCCATTCCCGGCAAAGTTTCCCCCGGGGCTGCGCTCCCGTGGGCGGAGGTGCCCTCGGGGAGCGCTGCCCGGCCCCGCGATCCCGCCGGGGACACCGTGCCCCGGGCTCACCTGTCGTCGCTCTGCCAGCCCTGGTCACCCAGCAGCAAGTCCCGAAAGCGGTACCGCGGTGGCAGCGGCGGCACCTCGCTGTCCAGGTCCACCATGCTGCCCGGAGTGGGAGGCAGGGGGCCGGCTGGGAGAGAGGGGAAGCCCCGCGGCGCTGCCCGAGGAGCGGCCGGACTCGCCCGGGCGTGTGGCGGACAGAACCCGGCGCAGCGGCAGCGGCGCGGAGCGGGCTGGCCCCGTACAAAGGCGCAGCGGAGCTGTCCCCGCGGTCCCCTGCAGCTCGGGGAGAGCCTCTCGACCCCGGGAACCAAGTCCCGCCGCGGGGGGAGGCAGGTGCCGGCGGGCGGCGGCCTCGGCGGCGGCGCGACCGCCCCCCGCCCACGCCCACCCTCACAGCGATCGGCGAGCGCGCCGCCGCGGCCCACAACAAAGGGCCGTGCCACGGCCGGGCCGGCAGCCCCGCACCGGGCGGTACTCGGCAGCCGCCTCCTCCCCTTTCTACCGGGGCTCCCTCAGGGGTGCTTTTCTGTAGGCCCCGAAACGTGAGGAACGGGTGTTTTACCACAGGTAGCAAACGCATAACCCCCCGTGTTAGAGATGGTGGGGTCATCTGAGGGCGGCTGGGGCTGCTAGAGCCTTGTCTGCTGCCCCGCGTTAACCTGACACACCTGGTCAGTGCCAGCTCCTCTGAAACGCCAGGTATGAGTGGGCTAAGAGTTTGGTCAATTTTTGCGTCTGCTTAATTGGGAAGAGCTTAATTGCTCTTGGACGTAGCAGGTGGTGCATGCCCTGTAAAAAAAAAAGAGAAGTTGAACTATTGCCATGATTGAGACTTGCAGGTAATGCTTGAAAGTGTGATACAATACTAAAAGTATTGTAATTCCGTGCTTCACTGATAAAGCACAAAATACCTATATGGTTATTTGATTGAATGGACTGTCACTAAGATAATAATGTTTCTAGCTTTGCCATTAAAGGGTTACTTTAATCTAGACTTTCATACTAATCATCTAATGTTCTACTAAACACTTCTAATAAGCAGGTTTAGTAAACACTGACAATACTGCAATTTCTGCAGCCTGTCCTGATTAGGTTTCCTTGATTAGCTCTTCACCTAAACTATTCAGTTTTAGCAGTTGTTTCCTAGAATTAAGTCATGCTTAATCTTAATACTGGTCAATTTTTATATCCATATTTAGATTTTGCTGGATCAGGAGCTAAGTGATAAAAAAGAATTTATTTCCTAAATGTGGTTTAAACACCATATATTTAATAAGATGTTTGCATGGATTTATTAGGTGTATTGAAAGTGAACCTTGTGTTTTCCATTCAGCTGGACTTCTGTGTGGAAAGTAAGCTAGCTAAAACCTGGACATGCGGGATCAGCTCAAGTATGGCAGCCTGAAGTGTATCATGTAGCAATGTACCATGCTGAGAATTCAGCTCTGAACTCCATGCTGTGATGCAAAGATTTCCTCAGGTAACCAATAGGTAGCTTAATTCAGGACTCAGATTGTCTCTGCTGTTGTTACAGTCATTGCATCTTTCCTTGCTTCTGTAGCACAGAGCTCTTAAGCACAGCTTTGGTGATTGCTGTTTCTTTAGAGAGCTGCAGAGTCCCAGACCCTACAAAGTGTTGGGATCACTAGAGTATGATGCTTGCCCTTTTTCACAGCTTGCTGCACTCAGCATTTACTTGTGCTTCTCAGAAAGCCTTGTTAGGTGAAGCAAAACAGATGCATATATGTGGCGAGAGTTCAAAGGTAATTTTCTCTTTGCTTTGGGTGATATGGGAAATAAATAAAATAGTGAATTATTCTGCATCCATATTCTTGCCAGTTGTATCATGCTGTGTTCTGAGGTCAGAACTCTCTAAAAGTATAATTTTAAAAAAAGCCCAGCACCTTTCTTTAGAATATTTGTTATGTGCTGCCCACTTCATTCTTTCTCAGCTGCTGCTCCAGTTAAAGGGGCTCTCTCTTGAAAGAAAACATTGTTTCCTTTCTCTGACTAAATAGCTTTCATCTTACCAAAACTTGAGGTGGGGTGAAGCCTGTACGTTGTAATGTTTTGTCATAAAAGCAAAGCCGTTAGGCTGACTGCAGTCCTTTTCTGAAGTCTATGAATCCTAGACTGGCTGAGAAATTGTGTTTCTACTGTGTCTTGTAGCAGCCTCATTAATTTTTCTACCTGAATTGATTAATTTAACGTGTGTTTTCATACTTGAGGAGCTAAGCAGCAGGAGAAGCTTTTGCTTTTTTTCTACCATGGAAGTGCACTTCAGACAGGTAATAACTGACTGGGAAATGAGCAACCAGGTGAGCAGTTGAGCAGAGCTAATAGAAAACAAACTCATTGCCTAGACTGCAGTCATGCAACTTATGCAGATGCCTAATTCTGTGCTCCCAAGTAATAGAAACTATTTGCAACGTAAAATGTGTTTTTACAATATGTTGTCTGATCCCTCTGAAAATCTCTAAGTGTATAAAATTGGGCAGAAAGGGGATTTTAGTTAGCTAAATCCAATATTTTGATTAGTGACTCAAAACACTTAGGAAACTTTTGTCTTCAAGCAGAGGAGACATGAGTCATCTGCTTGGAGACAGGTGCTGATTATGAACCATTATACTGGGTCACTATGCTCGAGCCAGGTGTTCCTTGTTAGGTGTTTGTGTAAAACAGAAGCTGTGAGCAACACTCGGGAGCAAACATAGGTTTGTACTTTTGGGATGGTTCTGGCCCTGAGAAATGTCAGAAGCATCTGTGACCCTGAACTTGGGGGCTGAAAATAGACTTTAATCCATTTTTTTGTTTGCCAAAGTGGGTAGGTACATGTGGATAGCTCTCAGTAGTTGGTTCTGAAGTCTGAGAAAGAGGGTGTTTAAGAACTGTGTAAATGAGTTTACTGCTAGTGATTGGACTTAAATCATGAATTATACTAAGGTACAGAAAGAACAAAAAAAAGGTTTTTTTTTTTTCTTTTTAGGTTACCATATTTATGATGCCATGTAAGTAAAATAGATTGAAGCAATGCAAATGGCTTCTGTATTTTTTGAACAGTTGCAGTGTTTATGGAGGGAAATATATTAATATATTAATTTTATATGCATAATTATATATAATTATATATTAAATATATATTAATATATATTAATATATATTAATACTGTTCTTAATTCAAGATGTTCTGCCCTTCTAATAAAGTACATCAGATTGTCAGGTTAGGTTTTGATATTTTGCACAAAATGCTTGCAAAGTTCTTTTTATAATTAATCAGTTTAACTGTTGATATTCATTGGGATATTCTTTAGTGCTGGTACTGATACCTAAAATTATTCAGGGTAAAACAGAGACAAACTTTATTGAAGGGAGTTAGAGAAACAACTTGGCCATAATAAAGTGCTCTATTTCAATCTCTGAATGTGTTGCTGGTCCTCAGCATTGAGGTGCTGAAATAGTCCTGTCAGACACAGTTCTGCTCCCTCCATTGCTTTTTAAATGTCTAGCATGACTCAGAGACTTATCATCCCCAGCTGATAAGCTTATCATCTCAACTGTTGTTTTTAATCTCCTAAATAATAGTCTCAGATTGGGGGAAGAAAGAACACTGGTAAATATAAATTTTTAAATAAAAGAGTGAAGAAGGATGAGGTGTTTATGCAAATGAACAGTAATCCTTTTAAAGAGTTCTGTAACATGAGTAACTTTTATTTATTATGCTTTCAAGGAAGATAGTCTGGTATTGTCTGGATGGCATTCTGGTAACTCAGCAGTCATGCACAAAACACTGTAAGGGGTAGTCTGGGCTGCAGTGGAAAATGATCAGTGGAAATTCCCTCTCTGCAGAATTTGTGTGTTTATTTTTTATTTGTCTGTTGGTGTTACTAAAGGGTTAGATTACTAAAGGGTAGGCTGAGAAACTGATTGGCTAAAAGAAATAAATCAAGCTCATTTTTTGGTTTTTTTTTTCCAAGTCTCTTTTTTAAAAATTTTTATTTTTCTTCCCCATAATTAAGAATAATTATAATTAATAAGAATAATTAAGAATTAATAATTAAGGATGTTTGTGTTGCTATTGGGAACTTTGGAACTCTCACATTTCTACCAGGTGATAAGTTCTCACTCAAGTATGTCTGTGTGGCTTTGGGTTTAAGACTAGAACAGGGAACTAGTTCTAGAGTACTGGCAGTCCATGGAACAGTTCTGTACCTTTGGCAGCTGAATAGAATATTTAGGGACTCAGCATTCAGAGTTCAAAAAGTATTTGGGGTTTAGATTAGTAAAATGTACTTCAATTTTTTATTTACTTTGGCTGCAGTTTCACTTCCAAAATAGTCTGTAGAAAAATCATGACAACATCTGTTAAAATGTACCTAGATGGAAGTCTGAAGAGTCCATGCTGATAAATAGTCCTTACATCAGAAAACTGAATTTCAGCATTAAGAAAGGTATACTTCTCAGTTAGAAAACAACATTTTTTACTTTTTTGAGAAGTTTGTTGCCATAATTTTTTATTTTTTTCCCCCCTGAGGCTTTTAGACCATCAGCTGCAAAAGGAATCTCAAATCTGAAGTACAGGTGCTGTGTCAGACTAAAATTTGGTGTGCTAGACTGAGTCTCAGCATCCTGGAATCTGAGTGGATCAGAGAGATTAAATTAAATCAGGAGCAAAACCTGGTTAGAGGTGTGTAAACAGAGAGCACACTCCCTGTTTACCTGCCTTGGTACAGGATTGTTATTTAGTGATGTGTAGGACTAAAGACTACATCAGTGAATGTCTGGATTTAAAATCATTGACTGTAATTTTGAATTTTTAAAACTACTGCATACTGATAGTCCTTAGCAATGGACCTTGGCCAGGATGCCAAAGGGGGAGTTGAGCTGGAGGAGAGCAGAGTGACCTGGAAGTTCTATAGCCTTTGGTTTACCTTTACCCAGTACTTGTGTTTCTTGAGGCTCATGGAAAGCTAAGGGATGTTGCTGAGTAGTGTAACATGTGTAGAGCCCACAGCATTTTGAGATTTTACTTTTCGAACCTTACCTCCACAATATCTCCTACTTGCACATTTTCTTTGT